ATGGTTGCCTCTGCAGGACCATACAAATTCCATATTCGACACGTTTCTCCTACACTGCTCCGTAATAGGTCGACCAAATTTCTAGGAAAAGTTTCACCTACAATTGAAAAACCGCAATATACAATCACAATCAAGGAATATCGAAAAACGTACCACCAGAGCAAACTGTTTGTAGTGTTCTCAATATATCAATATTGCTATTTCCTCTAACGTAACTGAACAAGGCAGCGAGCAGAGTAGGAACGCTATCCATGTAAGTTATCTGATGCACCATGAGGACATTGCTAAGATATTCGAAATCCATATGGCCATGAGGACGAAGCATTACTAATGTACCACCAACAATCAATGTTCCTACAATGTCTTCTAGATGTCCATCGAATGAGCATGGCGTCATTTGAACAACAGTATCTTCTTCACTGAGTATACCGACTTCACTGATGGAACGAATTGCTTCAATGAAATTTTGATGACGAATTTGAGCCTTTCAATATGGCAAGCATTATATAACAATATAGCAAAACAAACAACGATAGATCACTTACTGCTTTTGGTGTGCCTGTCGAACCACTAGTAAAAAGAACATAAGCTATACTATCACGATCCATAGTAACATTAGTCAGACGACTCAGATCAATATCATTCAGCATATTCTCTGTGTTGATTGCTGCATCAATATCAATCATAGGAATATTGAATTGAAATTTATTTTGAGTCAATTGATGAACTAGAATAATATGACTGTGAGTCTCTTCTATTAGACTGTAGAGACGTTGTAATGGATCACGTGGTGATAAAGGACAATAGGAAGCACCAGCCATTTGAATTGACATGATTCCAATCACCTAAACAACAAGAAAAAGAAACTCAAAACAATCAAATCTAGTTGTGTTTAGACATTCTTACCATTGACAAACTTCGTTCGACACATTGACAAACAACATCACCTTCTTTGACACCATATACATTGATAAGAAGAAGAGCAAATTGTTGGACATAGAAGAGAAGCTCACCATATGTCAATGCTTGTTCATCAAGTTCAACAGATACTTTTTGTAAATGAGAAAATGCTACTTGACTAAATGATTGTGGAACTGTATTAAATATAGCTAATGATCGATTGATATCATTGGTTTTTAGTGTATGAATTAGTACATGTTCTTGAGGAAGAACAATAGATAATTGATGAAGTGATGGTTGCTTGGCCAACGTTTGATTCGGTTCGAAGAGTTGATCCAAAAGATATGAAAATCGTTCGGCTAGCAATTGAACAGTCGTTTCATCGAATAGATCTTGTGAACATGTCAAAGAAAATGTAATACCACCGGAGAGTTTGTGCACAAACATGAGCATCAGGTCAAATTTCGCCACAAAATCACCTTTTTCTAAAGACACTGGCTCGAGCATTGCTCCATCAAGTTCGACGTGTTCAATGTCTGAGTCAATAGTGATGAAGTCGAACATTGTCTCTAGAAAGGCTGGCGAATGATGACTACCAATGATCTGTTGAAGTGGATAATGTGAATGGTCAAGAATTGATAAACATAAATCTCGAACTTGTTCAACGAGTTTCTCAAATGAACTTGTTGGATCTAATTGAATACGATATGGTAGTGTAGCAACAAACATTCCAATCAAATCTTGTAATTCTATTCGATATCGATTAGCATTGACACCAGCAATACACAAATCTTGTTGTCCATTGCTTACTTTGAATAGAAAAGTATAGAAGACAGCAAGACCAAGTTGAAAAGGTGTCACATTGTGTGAAGAAGCATAAGTAAGAAATGAATGAGACAAATGTTCATCGAATGAAATTTCAGCTACTGATGCTCGACCAGATCGTTGATTGTTAGATAATCGATGTCGATCGACTGGTAATAACAAACGACTTTCCATATCATATCCATCAAGTTGTGCATTCCAAAAGTCACGAGATTTCGTCATGTCTAATTGACGTTCATGAACCGAATAATCAATGTATTGCAACATGTTACTGTCAAATGGCAATTGAGCATCAAGATTATATGCAAGTGAAAGATCGCGAAGAAATATTGAAGTAGATGCTCCATCAAATGCTGAATGATGAATATTGAATAAGATGATATCATTCTTCATCAGTAAATCTACATTTTCTAAGGATGAAGAACAATCACGAATAATATAACAATGAAGCACTCGTCCTTTGGTCAAATCAAAAAGATCAGATCGACGAATCGTCTCATAAATTGCATTTTCTACATCATTAGTGTCAAGTATTGTAAAGCCAAATGATTCTTGATAATTTATATCTAAAGAATCGATTTCAGTAACAGATTGCATGACTATTCCATTTGTATGAAGTAGAAGTGCTGTGCGTAGAATGCTATGCTTCATAACAATTGCTTGAAGTGCTCGTTGTACTCTCAAAATAGATAAAGATTTTCCACTGGATGAAATACGATATACTAATGGAATGTTATACATTTGATTGCCATTTGATGCAAAACGAATCTGTTCATCAAGAAAGATTCGCTCTTGTGCAAAAGATACTTGCCCTAGACAAAATAAAAGGAAGATGGATGGAAAATTCATATATATATATTTACCTTGAGAAATGTTTAGAGAAAGCCAAGATTTTTCATGACATTGTTCTAAATCCAATGATTGTTCGATGAAACGAGCATGATCCTGAATTGTTGGATATTGAAAGATTTGTGCAATGTTTAGATTATGAATATGAAATTTGAATATCGATTTGTATCGATGATAAATTTGAATAAGAATCAGTGAATGACCACCAATAGTAAAAATACTATCGGTAGTTGAAATTTGTTTGCATTGAAAGATTTCACACCAAAGTTTATGAATAGATGTTTCGATTTCATTGCTTGGTTGAATATAATTATTTTGATTATTTGTCGATACGCTACATGAGGGTAGTGCAGCAAAATTGGGTGTTGGAAGTCGTTTTCGATCCAATTTTCCATTTGCATTCAATGGCAACTGTTCGAGTACGATAAACATGGATGGTATCATAAAAGATGGTAGATGAGATTCGCAATATTGTCGAAGTTGTTTCTCATTGATATTATTACTTTGAATATAGGCAACCAAGTGATCATCATCATACTTGACCACCACACAATGAGAAACGCCTGATGATGCTTGAAGCAAACATCTTTCGATTTCACCAAGTTCAATGCGTTGTCCATGTAGTTTCACTTGATGATCTTTTCTACCAACATAATACAGTAGGCCATGGCTATCGAAGCGTACAAGATCTCCAGTTCGATAGAAGTGTTCACCATCAATATCAACAAGTGCTTTCTTTGTCAATTCATTACGTCCAAGATAACCAGCAAAGACACCCACACCTCCCACAAACAGTTCACCCTCTTGACCAGTAAACACAGGTTGTGAGAAATCATCAAGAATCACACATCGATATCCTGGAAGTAGGCGACCAATTGGAATCGTCTTTGTTCCCATTGTTCGAAAAGCAGAATGATATGTAGTGATTACGGTTGTCTCAGCAGGACCATAGACATTCCATATTTGACATGTTTGTTCGACACAGCTGATCGCAAGCTCAGCCAAAGGGGAAGAAAAAGTTTCACCTACGATGCAGAAAGCAGCGTATACAATCATAGTCTTGAGATATCAAAAATACTCACCACCAGAACAAAGTGATCGTAGTGTTTTCAATGCATCAACACTGCTATTTTCCTTCATATAGGTGAGAAAAGCAGTGAGTAGAGTAGGAACACTATGCATATATGATATTTGATGATTAACAAGCACTTGACTCAGATATTCAAAATCCATATGTCCATGAGGACGAAGCATCACTAATGTACCACCAACAATCAATGTTCCTACAATATCTTCGACATGAGCATCGAATGAACATCGAGCCATTTGAACAACAGTATCTTTTTCAGTAAATATACCAACTTCATTGATGGATCGAATTGCTTCAATGAAATTTCGATGACGAAGTTGCGCCTTTCAATATGACAAGCATTATATAACAATATAGCCAAACAAACAACTATAGATCACTTACTGCTTTCGGTGTGCCTGTCGAACCACTAGTAAAAAGAACATAAGCTATACTATCACGATTAATAGTAACATCAGTCAGATGACTCAGATCAATATCATTCAGCATCTTCTCTGTGTTGATCGCTGCATCAATATCAATCATAGGAATATTGAATTGAAATGTATTTCGAGTCAATTGATGAACTAGAATAATATGACTGTGAGTCTCTTCTATTAGACTGTAGAGACGTTGTGATGGATCACGTGGTGATAAAGGACAATAGGAAGCACCAGTCATTTGAATCGACATGATTCCAATCGCCTGAACAACAAGAAAAAGAAACTCAAAACAATCAAACATAATCGTATTTAGAGATTCTTACCATTGACAAACTTCGTTCGACACATTGACAAACAACATCACCTTCTTTGACACCATGTACATTGATAAGAAGAAGAGCAAATTGTTGGACATAGAAGAGAAGCTCACCATATGTCAATGCTTGTTCATCAAGTTCAACAGATACTTTTTGTAAATGAGAAAATGCCACTTGACTAAATGATTGTGGAACTGTATTAAATATAGCTGATGATCGATTGATATCATTGGTTTTTAGTGTATGAATTAGTGCATGTTCTTGAGGAAGAATAATAGATAATTGATGAAGTGATGGTTGCTTGGCCAACGTTTGATTCGGTTCGAAGAGTTGATCCAAAAGATATGAAAATCGTTCGGCTAGCAATTGAACAGTCGTTTCATCGAATAGATCT